AAGCCACTCAGAATGGCAGCAGTGCTCACCTCTGGGAGTGCATCTTTTGAATTCCCTCTTCACCACGTATCTTTGATAAGCAAATACTATTTTTAATGAAAGACAAATGATGCTGTTGTATACACACATATACACTCCCATGCATACACATACACACACACACATAAATTGGTATTAAAATAGCCAGCCTTGCTCAGCCGGCGTGGCTCCGTGGTTGAGCATTGACCTATGAACCAGGAGATCACGGTTTGAGTCCTGGTCAGGGGCACATGCCCGGGTTGCGGGCTCCATCCCCCGTGTCTCCCACGGACGTCCCTCCTCCCTCCCCTGCAGCCCCGCGCTGCGCTGAGCATCTGCCCCGCATGTGGACGGGCGAGCTGTGCTGGAAGCCAGTCCGCTGTTTGTCCTGCGGAACGGCACAGTGAGCTCACTTTGCTGAAAAGGACCGGGTCCCCACTGACCTGGCGGCTCTCTCCGGGGCAGGGTGAGCTGAAACTCCTAGAAAACCCGGAGAAAGAAAACAGCAGACGGTTTATCTAGCCCAGATCTGCAAGAGAAGACAGAGCGCATTGTGCCCGAGGGAGGCGCACGCAGGCCGGGCACAGTGGGGACCTGCGCCCCCCCACCCCCGCCAGGCTGCCCACGCAGAGCCCAGCATGCCCTGGGGCCTGCAAGGCAAATGGACTGAGGGGCTGAGGGCTGAGGGGGCTGTCCCTCCTCCCCTGGTCCCGAGGAAGGAGCTGAGGTGGCCACACAAGTCGGGGGCAGAAGTTTCCAATCCCTCTTTTATTTATTTCTTTTTTAATATGTATTTGTATTGATTTCAGAGAGGAAGGGAGAGGGAGAAGGAGATAGAAACTTCAACGATGCGAGAGAATCACTGATCGGCTGCCTCCTGCACACCCCCTACTGGGTGGGGATGAAGCCCAAAACCCGGGCATGTGCCCAGACCAGGAATCGAACCTGGAACCCTTCGGTCCACAGGCTGATGCTCTATCCACTGGGCTAAACCAGCTAGGGCCCATCCCCTCCTTGAACATGACAGGAAGCGGAGGCCCCGAGAGCAGCCTCACCGTGAGGCAGTGCCCGGGGTGCTGTGGAAATGAGCGCCCATGGCCTTCGCCCTAAGGGCGGGCACTGATCTCGGTGCCAGGCCCAGGGCTCTGTGGGCAAGACCACCAGCTTGTGGCCGCGTGGATGCTGCCGTCCACGGGATACGCTCCGTGTCCCCGTTTAACGGTGAAGACTTGCTCCCAGTCCCCATTCGCGGGGGCATTTGAGCTCTTCCCTGTGGCTCGCACACAGGCAGATGCACAAAGAGAAAGAGCCCTCCAGCCCGGCGGTGTGGGGCAGTGATGGAGCATCCACCTATGAACCTGGAGGTCACGGTTCGATTCCCGGTCAGGGCACAGGCCTGGCTTGCGGGCTCCATCCCCAGTAGGGGGCGTGCAGGAGGCAGCCGACCCATGAGTCTCTCTCATCATCGTTGATGTTTCTCTCTCTCTCTCTCTCTCTCTCTCTCTCTCTCTCTCTCTCTCTCTCTCTTCCTTCTTCTCTGAAATCAATAAAAGCATATTTTTTAAAAATAGCCCTCAAGTCAGAGCAGGAGTCCGGTGTTGGGGCCCAGTGAGTCCCTCCCACACCAGCCGGGGGCCCTGTGCTCCCCGGGGACATGGCCTGGGCCCCGGCTGCGCTGCCCTTTAGATTGCAGAGTAGCTTTCCTGGCTGCGGGGCAGCTGTCAGGCTGGGCGCTCGCCGGGGAAAGGGCGAAGGGCTGCTTCCCGCACACACAGCTGCTTGAAGGGCAGCGTTTATGCAAACAGGCTTCGTCTGCGCCTCCCCTCACCCACCCTCCCCGCCGCTTCCTCCTTTCTCTCTCCTCCTCCTTCTCCTTTTTCTATTTCTCTTAAGTGTGTGCTGCTGCCTGGGGTACACACGGACCCCCGGCCCGGCCCCCCAGGGCACACGGGGAGGCAGGCAGGCGGGATCTGCCAGGCCAGGCCAGGGCTCTCTCTCTCTCTCTAATGTGTTCCCCGCCTCCACCGTTCGCTCCCTCCCCCATGGCGGCCCCTCCAGCGTGTGTCCTTGAACATGTGCATGACTGTGGAGCTGGGAGGGCAGCTGCGTGCACCCCAGTCTCACGCACAGCGGGGTGCCAGCTGGCGGCCTCGCTCCTGGCATGTCTCTCAGTCACTCAGCTCCGGCTGGGGGGGCTCCCGCTGCCCCGCGCTCCTCCGTGCGCTGTTTCCAGGTCCGCTGTATCCCTCCTGCTCCCCCTCCCCACCCCCCAGCTGGACGCCAGCTGCCTCAGCGCCTCCCACCACGAGGGAAGCCGCCCACCACCTCCGGAGTCCAGGCATCCGGACGCCGAAGGGCCGGAGCAGAGGCGACGGTGACGGGGTCCTAGCTGCACGCGGTCCTCAAAACCTCAAAACGCGGCGACATGTTCCCCAGGAGCCGCTGGGAGGAGGGGTCTTCCTGGAAGTTGGGGGCGAATCGCTTTAAGAGAGGGATGGGCCTAACCCGTCTGCTCAGGAGGGCCCTGCAGGACTCGGCCCGGGTCTGGAGAACGGGGCACCCAGAGTCCCTGAGCCGGGCGCCCACACCCTGCAGGCCCAGCAGGAGGGGCCTCCAGGTGGAAGCGCTCAGGACGCCCGCACATGGGCACCCAGGGCGTCAGATGGGAGTGGAACCCACCCGGGTCCCCTTTAGGAGATGCCCCCCGCCTGCCAGGGACTGTGGGGCGTGAGTCAGAGCAGGTGGCACCGCCGTGTCTGTTGGTCTGGGGTCTCCCTCTCCGGCTTGGAGTCCCTGGCCCTGCTGTTCACATCCCCCTCGGCCTGGGCCCCCTCCCGCCCCACCCCCCACCCCCAGGCCCCCCAGGGCAGCTGTAAACATTCCAGAGGGGCTGCGCAGGGGCTAGGAGCAGAGCCAGCCAGAGCACTCCCAGGCCAGACTCAGAGCCCCTTGACCAGGGCCAGATGCGCAGGAGATTCCAGAAGCTTCCAGGACCAGGCTCCTGGAGACTCAGACCCGTCCACAACCCGCTGCTTGTCCGTGCTCTGTCTTAGGAAGAAGCAGGGAGCCCCCCCGGTGCAGCAGCAGGGCGCCAGGTCCCGCGGCTGCTGAGACACACACGCGGGACACACCTGCCAGGGGGCGGAGGCCGCTCCGCTGACCCATCGGCTCCCCGGTGGGCAGAGTGTGGGCGGGGGCTGCACCGTCCTCCACCGCCCGCCTGGCTGGCTCGGCAGCCCGGTGAGGCTCTGCCTGGCTGCCCGGGGCCCACGTAAGAGTGAGAGACCCTCGAAGGGGGTCAGGGTTAATGTCCCCCGTGTCCCAGTTCATACACACGCTCCTCCCGAGGCCAAGGGCCCTGGGCCGCCCCTGGCGGGCTCCCCGGCCGGCTGCTCGGCCCCTGAGTCACAGCTGGCTCAGAGAGGAGCAGGCATCAGCCTCGGCTGCAGGGGGACACCTCTACCTGGGCGGGGAGAGGGGAAAGCGAGGGCTTTGGGGTGAGGCTGGCCTGCATTGAGCCCCCACTTTGTTATGTGCCAGCTGGGAGACCTTGGGGAAGCCACTGCACCTCTCTGGGCCTCGGTTTTCCCATCTGTAAAATGGGGGTAATGATAAATTGCCAAGAACATTGGGAATAAGCAAGGCTGTGCGATGCCCTGGCCTCACCACGCCTGGGGAAATGCAGGCATCACCCCCGCCCCGTCCTGCACACACCTCCTGTGCACCGGGCCCTGGGGCCCCAGCTCGGCCCCCATCTGTCCCCGACTCCCCGTTTCCCTCCCGGAGGGTCTCTGAAGACACACCGCGGGTCTCAGGATCTCCGGGGCGCTCCGAGGAGACACCAGGAAGGAAACCACAGGACAGAGTCCCACCGAGGCCGAGGCCAGGAGGAGACGCCGCTGGGGTGTGAAGGCGCAGAGGGAGGCTGTGGCGGCCCGGAGGGGGCAGGACAGGGGCAGTGGGACGAGAAACGTCCGGGGAGGCAGCTGGCAGAGGGTGGGTGCCGGTCAGCGCGCAGGCTTGGGGTCTTCATCGGGGAGAGAGCTGTGATCCTGGCACGGCCTTCCAGGGCCCTCTGAGAAGCACCGACGGTAGCTAGAGGGTGGGACCCCAGGAAGGCCGCCCCCTGAGACCCACATGGGGGAGCGGGGTCTGGACGTCTGGACGGGGCGGAACAGGGCCCATGAGAGACCCCTCACCTGTGTGGCACGTGTCCAGCAGGGGGAGAGGGCCAGACACCCCAAACCCAGCCGGGATAACCAGTGCCAGACACGGGGGGACGGCCCCGGCCCCCGGGCTGGCTGGGAGCCGGGAGCGGCAGCCCCTGTGAGTGAGGGACGCGGCTTCCATCGGGGGGGGGGGGGAGATAATGACGGCACTGGAGCCCGCGCCTGGGCCTCGGGGCGCCTCTGGTTCCCAGATGGGGAGCAGCAGCCGCCCCTTTGCCGGCAGCCGGGCGAGGAAAGGTGACAGATGAAAACCAGAAGTGGGCGCAGCCGGCGGGACTGAGAGGGCGTTCCTCTCCCGCTGGGAGTGCGTTCAAAGACCCTCACCGCCCACGGGTAACTGGATCCCCGCCTCCGCCCGCATCCTCCGGGGACCCCCCCGCCCCCACCTCTGTGACCCCCCCCCCCCCACCGCGACCGGCTCCCTCTGTGGGAATCTGCTGTCCGGCCCCCGCCTGAAATCAGAGCCCGGCAACTTTCCCTTTAAGACGGTCAGAGCCGGGGAGGCGGCCAAGCTGGGCTGGAGGTGGGGACAGAGGGAAGAAAGAAAAAGAGAGAGGGGGGGGGGGAGGCAGGAAAAGTTTTTTCAGAGGAAAATGCAGGGTTTGTCCTCACCCCTGACGTCAGAGCTCGCTTCCATAAAAGCCCCCGGGGCGGCGGGAGCAGCGGGGCTGGTGCTCCTGATGGGCCGGCTCCCGAGAGGCGGACATCTCCTCCCGGGCTGCCCGGCCGATGCTCGGCCGCTGAGCCCCCAGCATGAGGTGGCTCCTGCCCTGGACGCTGGCAGCGGTGACCGCAGCCGCCGCCACGGGCAGCGCCCTGGCCACGGTGAGTCTGCCAGCGGGGGCTCGGAGAGGGGGGACCGGACCGGCAGGATGCTTGGGGCCGGAGGGGGTTAGGGGCGAGGCCGGGGTGGGGAGGAGGACTGCCTGGGATCAGCGGGTTCCAGCAGGGCGAAGGGCAGGGTGCGGGGGTAGCACCTGCAGGAACGTGCCCGCAGGTCCCCTACGCCTGCGTTCACACCTGAGGCCACACGGAGAGGACGGGCCCTGGGGCTGGGGCCTGGCTCAGACCCAGCGCTGCCCAGATGGGCTGTGTGGCCCTGGGCTGGTCTCTCCCCCTCTCGGAGCAGCACGCCTGTGAGCGAGTTGTGAGTTGACTTCTGGAGTCTCGGGGATTGGAAACAGTGAGTCTCCAGGGGCCGGAGACACTCAGGAAGGGGCCGGGGAAACTGCCAAGAGGAGCGGGAGGGGAGAATGCCAGCTTTCAGCGCGAGGGCCGCTGAGTAACGGCGCACGGCGCCCGAGATGCTTCCTGACCTCCAGGGCGGGAGCGAGGGCTGCACCTCGGAGAAGCCGGGGAGCCAGACACGTGGCAGAGGAGCCAGCCGGCCGGGCCGGGCGCGGAGGCAGGCGCTGTTGGGCAGGGGGCAGGGGAGCTCTGAATCCAGTCCCCGGGGCCAGAGGGAAAGCTGGGAGGCGGGTAGGCAAGAGGGGTATCGCCCCCTCACACGGCCAGCCTCCTTAGGGACCAATGTGCCGGTTCATGGATGGAGAAACAGAGGCTCGGGACACAGGTAGCTGCCCTGCGGGCGCTGACTGAACGGGACCTGGGGCTGAGAGCTGATGGCCAGCAATGGGCCAGCTGCCCCGCAGGACCTGGCGACGGTGCTCCCCCAGGGCCGGGAGGGGCGTCCGTCTGGTCCATTGCCCCGTCCCCTGCACCTGCACGGGGCCTCCTGTCCCGCAGAAAAAGGACAGTGACTGCATTTGCACAAATGGGGGTGGGGGGGGGAAGAGAGACAGAGACAGAGCAGGTGGGGGACTCGCCCAGGGCCCCCTAACGAGGTGCTGGCCAGGGCTCCAGCGCAGACCTTTTCCTGCCAAAGCCGTGCTTGCTTCCAGAGCTTTCCAAGTTCGGGGAAATGAGTATTTCCGGCAGAGCAGAGAGAGCCAAGCCCGCTGGAGGACAGGGGCAGGATGGAGAAGAGGTGAGGGTGTGGGGCGGCCAGCCTGAGGAGTGAGAAGGCAGGGGACGGGGGGGAACAAGTCAGCTGGGGCTGGGGGCGAGGGGCAGGGGTCCCAGGACACTGGAGCCCCAGGAGCTTGCCCGGAAGAGGGGTGCCGAGCCGTGGGCCCGGCCGAGGGGACACACAGGACCCAAGAGTCCAGAGGGTCCCAGACAGGAGGATGGAGGTGCGATGTCTCCCTCTGTGCAGCCTCAGCCTGGGGACCTCCTGTGGGAACCCGACTCACCCGGTCCCCGCTTGTTCCCCACTCAGGAGCTCCCCAGGAAGCACTGGCGCCCTCCGGGCCTCCTTCCCCACCCCCCGCGGGGCTGTGGGACGCCTGGCACCCCGCCCTGCTTTATAGCGAAATTCCAGACACTCGCACGTCCATGGCTGCCAGTCCGCGGGGTCCAGGCGGGAGGGATGTCGGCGGAAAAAGTGACTCCAGCCGCTCCTATGGAAGAAGCAGCCTGTGCGCGCTGCCAGGGGCGCTTTGAGGAAGTGGGCTTGCAGGGGGATGCGCCCTGCGAGGTGAGACATTCACTCCAGGTGCTGAGGCCGAAGAGGAAGAGAGAGCTCAGACAGCGAGACAGGGCAGCGGTGGGGAACCCGAGCCACGCAGGCGGGAGCGGGGTGGGATAAAGGGGCTGCGGGCAGACTCAGGCCTCCCTCTTTGCTATTCTTCCTTCTGCGGGGTTCGGTGTCCACCCGATGCTCAGAGGAAGGGGCTGTATTTGGAGAGCACTGCCACGTCCTGGGCCCACGGCACTGCGTGTGTGGCTAAGCCTGTCCTCGGTCCACCCGCTGGACATTGCGCAGGGCACCGTCCTCCTCTGGAGATACGAACCCTGCAGCTCAGAGCAGTTGAGCCATTTGCCTGGGGTCACAGAGCTAACGCTCAGTGAACCGAGGCCCAGCTCTTGGCAAGACAGCTGCTGCCCTCATGGCCCGTGCTCTTGGCAGAGATGAGAAGCACGTGCCCCTGGAAGGACTCACGGGCTGGTGAGGCAGGGGACCGCCACCCACCCTGGGGATCGAGCCTGCAGCCAGGCATGTGCCCCGACCGGGAATCCATGTTTCTGTCTGTCTTTCCCTCTCTCTTCCACTCTCCCTGAAAACCAATGGAAAAATATCTCGGGTGAGGATTGACAACAAAGATTCTCATTACAATGTTTGATAGTGATGATGGTGGTGCTGATGGTATTGATGGTGATGGTGCTGATGGGGATGATGGTGCTGATGGGGATGACAGTGCTGATGGTGTTGATGGTTATGGTATTGACGGTGGCGTGTTGATGGTTCTGGTAGTGATGATGTATTGATGGTGATGGTGCTGATGGTATTGACGGTGATGGTGCTGATGATGGTGGTGATGGTGATGATGGTGTTGGTGGTATTGGTGATGATGGTGCTGGTGCTGATAGTATTGATGGTACTGATTGTATTGGTAGTGATGTATTGATAGTAATGGTGATGATGGTATTGATGATGGTGGTATTGGTGGTGTTGATAGTATTGATGGTGATGTGTTGATGGAGTGGTGCTGATGGTGCTGACGGTGATGATGGTATTGATGGTGATGGTAATGATGGTCTGATGGTATCGATGGTGATGATGATGGTGCTGATGATGGTGATGTTGATATTGATGGTGATGATAGTATTGATGGTGATGGTGATGATTGTGCTGTTGGTATTGGTGGTGCTAATGATTCTTGTAGGTGAGACTTGTGTCCTCCAATCCTGAGTCAGGGTTCCCTGCTGCTGCCTAGGTTTCAGAGCCCTCCACAGACATTTCCATGGAAGCTGCAGCCCTGTTAGTGCCCAGACCCTTCCTGTCCTGGAGGTGTGGTGGAAACTGCATGGCTGTCCTCGCCTTGGAGCTGCCTGGCAGCAGGGGATGGGTTTACTCTAGCAGAGGGGAGTGTGTGAGAAATCAGAGGGCTGTGGGGGACCATTTCCAGGCCCTGGGCCTGAATTCCGGGGGTGAATCCCAGTAGGTGTACCTGAAGGGGCGACTTGAAGATCTGTTATGCATGCTTGACTTAAAAACCCTTGAATTAGATTATTTTAACCTGCCAACTCTCTTCCCCCTCCTCCTCCCCCTCTCCTTTCCCTACCTCGTCCTCCCTCTCTTCTTCCTTCTCCCCCTCCCGTCTCTCCATGAGGGAAGGAGGTGGAGGATAAGGGAGATGAGATGGGAGGAGGAGGAGGATAATGGGCATTCCAGGGGATGATCAAAGCTGTGCCTGCCCATCCCAAGGCCCCCAATCTGGAGGGAGTCCAGGCTGGGGAGGACTGGGGATCTGCTAGGCTTTGATGTGGGGGTGTGGGGTGGGGTGTAAGTGGGGGTGACGGAGGAAGTGAGATAAAATGAGAAGCAGGCCCACAGGAGAGGAAGGGAGGGGTCCCCCTGGCTCTCTAGGAATCCCCGTGCATGCGATGTGGAGTCTAGGAGAGAGGGAAGGCTAGGAGCCCGCCCAGGGCTGGAGGGGGAGGGGAAGGGGGGGGATGAGGGAGAGGAACATTCTGAGGACGGGCACTCACAACCCCATCCATCGGGCAGAACAGTAGAGGGATGCTAGCTCATTGCTGGGCACCCGAGGGCACCCCAGCGGCACCTGGGCAGAGACCCCAGGGCCTCACCCAGGGGGTTCCCTTAAAGAAGGGTCCACCCTCTCACCCTGTGGCTGCCCCCTGGTTCCACCAGAAAAGTGGGAAGGAAACAGGGGAGTGTGCACGGGGAGGGCGGGTGAGTCACAACCAAGGCCCTGGGCCCCGGCCTGAGGCCACATCCCCCCACTTTCCCCAGAACCCCAGATTTCAGAAAAAGGGTGAACTCACCCCGCTTCCAGACAGGGCAGCCCTCTCCTAAGGCCCCCAGGCCCCATTGGGCTGGCTGGAGCCATTCTGTCTCAATGCTGCCCCCTGGTGGAGAATATGGGTGCGGCCGCCCCTACTCAGGCAAGCCAGGTGCTGGGACCTCCCCTGCTGTGCTGGGAAAGCTGGCACAGGGTCTGCCAGGCGCAGGGCTGGCACTGAAGAGGCAAAAAGAGCAGCTCGTCCCTTCAAAGCCTCCCAGAGGCTCCTGTGTCCTGTTCGGGACCCTCGTTAGCTGGGGCCGATCCCGCGCCCCTTGGCATATGCCCTGTGACCCTGCGCTGTGCCGTCCTCCCCGGAGGAGACCCTGTTTGGAAGCGGCTGGGGAAGGGAGCCTCTGGGTAGATGCCCGGCCGCCTCCTCGTTGCTGCTGGCAACACCGAGTTTCCTCCAAACCTCCCCTGTCACCGCCGGCCCAAGGGCGCCTCTGGGCTTATGGGTTTTGCCAAAAAAAACTATTTCTTTTCCTTTTTTAAAGATATTTTTATTGATTTTTGAGAGTAAGAGAGGGAGGGAGAGATAGAAACATCCATGATGACGGAGACTCATGGGTCGGCTGCCTCCTGCACGCCTCACGCTGGGGATCAAGTCCGCAACCTGGGTATGGTGTGCTGACCGGGAACCGAACCAGGGCCTCCTGGTTCCCAGGTGGACGCTCAGGCCCTGAGCCACGCCGGCCGGGCCAGGTACCGCGTTCTTAAACAAGATCAGGTGTTCCCCTTTAGCCTAACAGCAGGGCATCACGGGAGCGCGTTCTTGTCGGTGAGACGGGACGCGGCCGAGGCCCGAGCTCTGGGTGTCCTTCCAGCAGGCACCATGGCGGGGGCGCGACCCTAATGCCGCCGGTCAGGGGGCAGAGGTCGGTGACATCGTGGGGTGACCTCGGAGCCGCAGCTCTGACGTGAGGCTCACAGTTCCTCAGGGCGAAGGGGGTTCCGGAGTGACCAGAGACCCACTCCCCAAGGGGCCGGCGCCCACTGGAGGTCAGCACAGGTACGCGCTGCCACGGGCCCCCTGGCCCCGCGCCGAGGAAGGGCCAGGGAGCCGGGCCTGGCATCTGGCTGGCATCCCCGGGGAGCCAGGGAGCCGAGGGGCTGAGGCCTCTTGTCTTTGTTCTTGGGCAGAGACGCCTCTCCTGCTGCTTTTGGGGTGAACAAGGAGAGTCCATATTTCCATGGCAACGGTCCATGTCCCAGGGCGAAGGGCAGGTGGACCTGACTCGCCCCCTGGACTTTCAAGGGCTGGTGTGTGTGTGTGTGTGTGTGTGGTGTGTGTGTGTGTGTGTGTGTGTGTACACCTATGCATGTGAGAGCAGGGAGGTTTTTCGCCACTAGATGGCGCCAACTGCAAGGGCCTGGCTCAGTGGATCCAGCCCACCCCTCCCCTGGGCCAGGGGGACCCTGAACGGCTTCTCTGTCAGGGGGTCCTCTCCGCTGCTTCCTTCTGGGCATTTATTATTATTTTTATTATTATTATTATTATTGATTTCAGAAACGAAGTGAGAGGGAGATAGAGACAGAAACATTAGAAACATCCACGATGAGAGAGAATCACTGGTGGGCTGTCTCCTGCACGCCCCACACTGGGCAGGGAGCCCGCAACCCAGGCCTGTGCCCTGACGGGGAATGGAACCCTGACCTCCCGCATCACAGGTGGACACTCAGCCACTGGGCCCCGCCAGCCGGGCTGTGGTTGCTTTCCATGATTTGAGGTTAGAGGTCATGCCGTGCTTTTGAAGCACAGCAAACAGGCGTGGTAGCACACCGGCCTCCCAGGTGGCCATGGGCAGGCACTGCCAACCCCAGGGCGGTGCGGTCCCGCCAGCTAGCCTGCCTGAGACCCCGCCTGGAGGGGTCCCACCGCAGATCCAGGCTTGTCTTTTTGACGGCCAAGGCCCTGCGCCTGGTGAATCCATACTGACTGCCCTTACGATGTGCCGGGCCCCAAAAATGGGTCCCGCCGATCCGCATCTCAGCGCAGACCGCCGCTCGGGGCCTCTGGCCTGGCAGTCACGTGCGCGCGGTGGCTCGCCCACCAGGCGAATGGGGGGGCCCGGAGCTTCGGGGCTCCCCACGGAGGCCCAGCACCCTGCCCCTGGCCTTGCGTTGTGATGCATCGCAGGAAACTTTCAGATTTCTCTGGGCTTCAGGGAGACGGAGGACGCGCTATGCAGGTGCCGCTGAGTGGCTGGGCGGCGGAGGAGGCAGAGCGGGGAGAGCAGGGAATGGAGAGAGACGTGGGCTGGGTCACCCTGGGCGTGTCCCTGTCTCTCTGGGTCTCCGTGTCCTCCTCAGCAAAGGGAGGCAGACTCTGCCTGGACGTCTCCGCCTCTGCTGGTCAAAGAACGCGGTGTGGCCCCGCCGCTGGGTCCGCTCCGCTGGTTGGAGCCATGGTCTGCAAACTGCGGCTCTCGAGCCACAGGCAGCACTTGCACCCCTGGAGCATGGCTCTTCCACAAAAGACCACGGCCTGGGCCAGTCTGTGTTGGAGAACTGGCCTTAGAAGAAGTTTAAGTTTAAAAAAAATGTGACTCTCCGAAGAGATTTCCATTGTTGTCCTGTTGGTATTTGGCTCTGTGGACTAATGAGTTTGCCGACCACTGGGGACAGAAGGGTTGTGGGTTCGATTCCTAGTCAGGGCACATCCCTAGGTTGCAGGTTTGATCCCTGGTTGGGGAACAAATGGGAGGCACCAACCCCCATTTCTCTCACACATTGATGTTTCTCTCTCTCCCTCTCTTTGTCCCTATCACTCTCCCCCTCTCTCTCTGTCCCTCTCACTCTCCTCCTCTCTCTCTCCCTCTCCCTCTCCCTCTCCCTCTTCCTCTTCCCCTCTTTCTCTCACTCTTTATCTCTCTCTCTCTCTCTCTCTCCCCCTCTCTCCCTCTCCCTCTCCTTCTCCCTCTTCCTCTCCCCCCCCCCTCTCTCTCTCCCTCTCTCTCTCCCTAATTTAAAACCATATCCTCCAGTGAGGGGGGAACATGCTAGAAAAACATAATTGGGTTCAAGCCTTTTGACCACCCCACAGAGGGGAGGTGATGGCAGCCCCTCATCTCTGCCGTTCCCCCCGCAGGCCCTCTCCGCGGCCCCCACGGCCATGGCCTCCACCCCCGCGCCGCTGGAGGACACGTCCTCACGCCCCCAGTTCTGCAAGTGGCCGTGCGAGTGCCCGCCGTCCCCGCCACGCTGCCCGCCGGGCGTCAGCCTGGTCACCGACGGCTGCGAGTGCTGCAAGGTGTGCGCCCAGCAGCTCGGGGACAACTGCACCGAGGCCGCCGTCTGTGACCCCCACCGCGGCCTCTACTGCGACTACAGCGGGGACCGCCCGAGGTACGCAATAGGAGTGTGTGCACGTAAGTGACCTTCCCTCCTTCCCGCGCCCGTCCCCCCAGCTCCGCCCGGCCTCCCCCGGAGAGGGTGCCCCACACACCCCAGCCGGTCCTCAGAGGCCGGAGGCAGGGCTCCCTGAGGAGGGACCGATGCCAGCCTCCCTCTCCTCTCCAGACCGGGCATCGGCTCGCTCTCGGACCCGGGGCACCTCCAGGCCGGACTCCAGGGAGGGCTCGGCCAGGTTTCCTCCCCTTAGGGCCCGGGGTGGGTCCCTCTGGGTGAAGTGCCAGTCCAGTGGCTGTGGTGCTGGTTCTGAAGGAAAATCAGGGCACCTTGGACTCCAGCCCTGCAATACCGGAGGGCAGCGTGGACCGCCTGCGTGGGCGCGCTGGACAAAGGGGTGACTCACGTCCCGCGTGGGCGGGGCAGGATGGCGTGGGGCTTTATCGCCTTATCCAGGGCAGCCTGCCATTTAAAACCTGCGAGCTGCTCATTGGATTGTTTGTTTCTGGAATATTCCAGTGAATATTTCCAGACCGTAGCTGACCCCGTGGGAAGCAAAACCGTGGATAACAGGGGCTGCTGCACACCGACAGTCACACACTCTCTCCCCAAGGCGGCTTCGGGGCACGGCTGAGCCTTCCAGATCCCTCCAGGCAGGAGACCCCATCATTGCCCACTTCCAGGCTGCTCTCCAAGGTCATGGGGAAGGTCACTCCGTTCTCCATGACGACCCTCCTCTCTCAGCTGCACGCACCCCTCGCCAGGCGCCAGGCACCGTGCCTTGTAGACATTCCCTCCCGGACTCGGAGATTGAGCTGCCTCTCCTGCCTGCCCCTCCCCCCGGAGGCCTGGGAGCCACCTTCCTGCCCCTGCCCCCCTCTGTGTCTCCCACGCCCCGATGCCCTCACCGCAGCCCCAGCGCCCCCACCTCGACCTCTGTGCTCCCCCCTGCGGCGGTGAGAAAGCTGCCTGCAGGGGTTTTCACAGGCCTCGCCCCCAGAGGCCCCTGGTCACGGAGCTTTGCAGACGGGGAATAAATCAAGTTCAGCGAGTGTCAGAGACCGGCTCAGGGGCCGTAAGCGCCGTGCCCACGGCCACCCACAAAGGAAGCCTTTGCTTTTCAAAACTGTTTGCACAATGAACTCGTTTGAGGAGGTAGATTTTTACCCACCTCAACACACACTCACAGATACACACATCTCATGCATGCATATGTGTGAGCACACACACACTCACAAATACACACCTCTCATGCATACATATGTGTGAGCACACACACACTCACAAATACACACCTCTCATGCATACATATGTGTGAGCACACACACAGATATGCACATCTCATGCATACATGTGTGCACACACTCAGATACACAGATTCCCATGCATGCCTTTGTGCACACATGCATACACACACATCTCATGCATACATGTGTGCACACGCACCCCATTCATATGTATGTGCACACACATTGATACACACACCTCATGCATACATGTGGGCACACACACACACACACACACACACTCACTAGTGCTCTTCCGACCGTCCTCCCAGAAGTGCTGCCCTGGCGCCTGAGTCCATGAGGCCTCGTCCCGGGAAGAAGCCCAGGCCTGACCATGAGAGAGGACGGCCCCGGGCCCTCGGGGAGAGAGGGAAGCAGGTTCCTAAATAGGAGAAAAACCCCGGTGGTCAGCTCCACCCATGGCACCCCCAGAGGCTGGACCTGCCTGGAGACTGCCCACAACCAGCTCAGGACGAGGCGGGGGTAAAAATAGCGTAAACATGTGCCACCTGGAACGGAGAAACCGCGGGGCAGGGTGGGACGGCAGCCCAGGGCCAGGGCAAGCAGTGGGGCAGAGCTGGCCGGCCGGTCCCGGGCACCAGCCGCCGCGGCAGGCAGGAAAGGGAGCCCGGTCTTGGCCGTTCTGCTCGGTTTCCAAGAAAATCCAAACTCCAGGTTTGGGTATAATTTGCACATGTTGGCAGCGCGCTTTAGAAAAGATGTTTGGAATGCCCGGGGCGCCAAGCTAAACACGGCTGCGAGCGCCTCTGGAGCCGCTCCTGCTATTTCTGTGCGCAAACACGGCCGGTGGCTGTGATGTGGCCGCTCAGGCCGGTGGGCGGCTGCGGCCGGGATCGCGGAGGCCAAGGCGGACGAGGGCTTTGGGTCCTGGCTCTGGGCTCGCCTGCTACGTGACCTTGGGCACGTCCCTCCAGGAGCTTGTTCAGACCAGCCCGTGCGGTTGCTGCAGCCTCCGACCAGGGGGCTGTTTTAGCTCTTCCATGTGGGAGCCATGCAGCCCTGCCCAGGTCATCCTCGGAGGAGGGACCAGTCGGGGTTCAGGCTCAGACTCCTGTGTGAAGGGGAGGAAGGGGAAGACTCGCCAGGCATGGTCTTTGGAGCTAGAGAACTTGAATTCAATTCCGGCACCGGAACTAACCAGGGTGATGATGTTAGGCTAGCCACGTGACCTTGTAAGTGTCGCTTTCCAGGGAAAAAGTAACAACTCATGCCTCTCTCTTTAGGTGTGTGAGAGGCTAAGTACCTGATCCATGGCAGGAGCCCAATGTGAAGATTGGGGCTCACCCCACCTCCCATCCATCCATCATCTATCCATCCATCCATCCATCATCCATCCATCCATCCATCCATCATCCATCCATCCATCATCCATCCATCCATCCATCCATCATCCATCCATCCATCCATCCATCATCCATCCATCATCCATCCATCCATCCATCCACCCATCATCCATCCATCATCCATCCATCCATCCATCTATCCATCCATCCATCCATCATCCATCCATCCATCCATCATCCATCCATCTATCCATCATCCATCCATCTATCCATCATCCATCCATCCATCCATCCATCACCCATCCATCCATCCATCTATCCATCCATCCATCCATCCATCCATCCATCATCCATCCATCCATCCATCCATCTATCCATCCATCCATCCATCCATCTATCCATCCATCCATCCATCCATCCATCATCCATCCATCCCTCATCCATCCATCCATCCATCATCCATCCATCCCTCATCCATCCATCCATCCATCCATCATCCATCCATCCATCATCCATCCATCCCTCATCCATCCATCCATCCATCATCCATCCATCCCTCATCCATCCATCCATCCATCCATCCATCATCCATCCATCCCTCATCCATCCATCCCTCATCCATCCATCCATCTATCCATCCATCATCCATCTATCCATCCATCATCAGTCCCCCCACACAATAACAGGGTTACAACCAGGCATGGTCCTGCCTTCCCACCTCATGTAACTCGGGTACTGCCCAGCTCCCAGCCCCCCTCCTGCTGCCCCGTTCTCCCTGGCCAGGTCCCCAGCGGCGCTCTGTGATCTGTTGCTTCTCCCTGGCCACCCCACTACAATGGAAGTGCCGGGAGGTGTGGGTTTTGCCTGTGGTTCACGCCGGGATCTTCAGCGCCCAGAGCAGCCATCAGTCCGCATGGCCTCGGTGGACCTTTGTTTCCGAGTGTTCCCATGGGTTCTCCCTGCCTGCCCGCTGCCAGCCGTGAGCTCGGGGCACATAGGTGTCAGTGCCAGGCTCTGTGCCAGGTGCCGGAGACAGGAGCGGAGCTGGCCACCCAGTCCCCCCGCCCATGCTTTACCCTCTGACATTGGCAGCAGGTGTGACTCAAGGAGGAGCAGCTGGAGCTGAGACGGCTCTGCCCGCCCTCTGCCCAGGCCCCTCGCGGGTTGAGCCCTGCCCTTGCGTCCCGCCCCCGGTGGGTGTGGGCGCGGTGCACCATGGGAGGTGACCTTGGGGAGGGGGGGTGCTGGGCCTGAGCGCGCCCTGTGTCCGCAGAGGTGGTCGGCGTGGGCTGCGTCCTGGACGGCGTGCGCTACGGCAACGGCGAGTCCTTCCAGCCCAGCTGCAAGTTCAACTGCACGTGCGTGGCGGGCGCGGTGGGCTGCACGCCCCTGTGCCTGCGGGTGCGCCCGCCGCGCCTCTGGTGCCGCCTCCCGCGCCGCGTGCGCCTGCCCGGCCGCTGCTGTGAGCGCTGGGTGTGCGACGACCACGCCCGCAGGCCGCGCAAGCCCGCGCCGCGCCACGCCGGAGACCTAGGTGGGTGTGCAGTGGGTACTGTCTAAATGCTGTCCTGGGTGCTGATGCAGGCGCTGTTGTGGGTGCTGCCGTGGGTGAGGCCTAGGGAAGGCAGTCTCCTCTGGCCCTGCCTTCCCGGATGACCTGGGAACAGCCCGGCTCTGCCTGGCCTATGGGGTCCTGGGAGCCTGAGTTGAGGGAGGGCTTGGTGGAGAGCAAAGCCAGGCAGGTGGGTTCAGTACGCCCCCATTTACAGACGGGGAGGGGAGGCCAGGCCTGCGGACCAGCTAATTGCTTGTGACGGCTGTGCCTGTGCCTGTGCCAGGCTAAGCAGCCTCCCCAATGCCCACCCACTAGATGCAATGGCACCTGCCGCTCAAGTAGTACCAGCCCCAACGGCCCCAGACCTGGGGACAGGGCGTCCCCCTGAGCCACCGCCACGTGCAGGGAGGTAGAGAGCAGCTGAGGGCGGCAGACAGGCGGCACAGGAGGGTTTGCAGAGGCAGAGAGTTTCCCGAAAGAACAAGCAGGAGAGCAGGGGGAAGGGGGGCAGAGGGGCGGGGGTCTGGCTGGGCCAGGCAGGAGGGCGGTCCCCCCACCCCTCCCCCTGCTGGGTCCGGGATTGCACTGGCTCTCTGGGGGGGCTGGGGTGCCCCGGGCTGAGCCAGCCCAGGAAGGAGCAGCTCTGTGGGGAGGACATGACAGGAGGGCTGTGTCCCGGGCAAGCCCAGCAGCAGCCTCACTGCGGGGGGCGGGGCGGCTGTCTGCCCGCCGCTGTGTGTGGCCCAGTGACCCCATTCTGACCCAACACCCGCAGAGCCCCTGCCCGCCTCCTGGTGACCCAGAAACCAAAGCCTTCATCCTCTCAGGCAAATCCCCCTCTTGCCCTCCCTCCGCCTCACAGCCCAGCTCTCCCAGATCCTCCCCTCCTCTGTCCTCCCCCTCCTCTCCTCCCTTCCCTTCCCCCTCCCCGCTCCATCCCTCCCTCCTTCCTGCATCAGTGTTCCCTGCACACCGCAGCCGTGAGGGGCTGGGGATGAGGCCTCAACCTTCCCCTTTCAGATCCCATTAGATGGCTTTTCTTTCCTATTTTTGTCTCACCCCTCCATTTTTATCGCCTTTCTCTCCCAGACCCTTTCTCTCTCCCTCTCCCCCCCCCCCCCACTCTCTCTCCATCTGTCCTCTCCCCGCTCCCCTCTGCCTGCTCTGCAGTGAGATGAGCTTCCTCCTGGGTCCGTCTGGGCCCCTCGGCCCCTCCAGCTGTGGGCTCTCTGCCCCGCCTCCGCCCAGCTCACTGCGTCCCCATCCTCAGGCGCCAGGAGAGAGACATTAATGTGTGTGTTGGCCGATGGTTAGGAAATCACATGAGCTCACGTTGCCCGAGGGCTCACTGAGGGCCAGGCAGCCTGGGCAGCCACCGTGCCAGCCCTCTTTCCCCCCACAGCCCAGGAGGGGGCGCTACCATCACCCCCCCTACACACACACACACACACACACACACACACACACACAGGTGGCCCGGCTCAGACCTGCGCCCACACACTGTGTGTCCCCGCGAGCACCGAGCCCTCAGCCTCAGCCAGACGAAATGCTGGGTCCGGGGCGTAGCCACTCGCCTTTGACCTTCCCCCAGGGAAACATGACCTCTGAGGGCAGGAACAGGCTCGCGTGGCTCTCATTCCCGGCCCCAAGCGGACGCGGACACGGGCTCAGATTACCTCCATCGCCCCCCCCCACTCCCCCCTGAGAGGCCGCTGGTATTGCCCCCAGGAGGAGGCGGGGCGGGCCCAGCTTGTGGGGTCCCACAGCGGTAGGCGGTCAAGCGGGATTGGAACGCGGGTCCACCTGCCCCCAGAGAAGAGGAGGGACTCAGAGCCAGGCCTTCTAACCCAGGACTGCGAGGAGCCGACCAGCCGCCTCCGTCCTCGCCGAGTTCCAGGGCACTCGGGGCTGCGGTGGTGGGGGGTGGAGAGGGTTTGGGGGTGACGGAGGCTGGGGACTCACGGGGTCCCGTGTCCGTCCGCAGCGATCCTGGGTGAGGCCGAGCCCTGGCACGGGAACTGCATTCCCCACACCAGCCCCTGGAGCCCCTGCTCCACCAGCTGCGGCCTGGGCATCTCCACGCGGGTGTCCAACGCCAACGCCGGCTGCCGGCCCGCGCAGGAGAGCCGCCTCTGCACGCTGCGGCCCTGCGGCCTGGACGTCCGGCCGCGCATCAAGGTGGGTGCCCTCCCCGGGCGGGCGGGTCGGCGTCTCGGGCTGCACAGAGGAGCTGGGCGCTGGGCCGGGCTCCCCAGCTCCCTCAGGGGGCCGCTGTGAAGTGGGAATGAGGAAGCCCACCTCCGAACCGTTATCATCAGGGCCACGTGTGGGCGTCTGACTCTCACTGAGCGGAAGTGACCCTGGTGATTGTGTTAATGGCACCAGGGTCTCTCTGAAGGGGACCCGGGGGCCTCAGAATTGGTCCCATGGTGGTTCCTCTGCCCCTGCGCCCACACCCCCCATGGGCACCTCACGCCAGCCAGCCACATGGGTACAGGAGCACTAGACGGAGGTGGGGACGCTGGCGTCAGATGCCTGCCTGCTGCGGACGACACAGGATGGTGGCCAATGTCCCCGAGTCTCTGTGGCCCAGGCCCCGCGTCCATAACATGCCGGGGCCCTGAGACCTCCCTCCCGACGCCTGCCACGTCCCGGGCACGGAATCAGACCACAGTCGCCCCGAAAGAGCCCTGCTCTTGAGTGGCCCAAGGGAGAGACAGAGCAGCTTTTACTTTTTAAAAATATATTTTTATTGATTCCAGGGAGAGGAAGGGAGAGAGAGAAAGAGAAACAGAGGCATCCATGACAAGAGAGAACCATGCATAGGCTGCCTCCTGCACGCCCCACACTGGGGACAGAGCCCGCAAACCGGGCCTGTGCCCTGACCGGGAATCGAACCGTGACCTCCTGGTTCACAAGTCGGTGCTCACCCACACCAGCTGGGTGAGCTGCTTTTAAATACCACCAGCCTGGCTGAGTGAGTGGGTGTGAGAGGCTGTGGGAGGCAGAGGAGGGCGAGGGGGATAAAGCGTGTGCCCGGTCATTGCTAGCTGGGCACGTGGTTGATGGGGGAGCTGCAGGGGTGTCCTGTGGGCAGAGAGGATTGGGGGGAGGGGTGGGCAGGAGCGGAGGGAAGGAGGGACACTGAAGACTACCAGGCAGGACCTGAGCAAAGCCATCCCGTCTGTGGGCCTCCGTTGACTCCTGCATCGCACAGGGCTCTAAAGGAAAGGGGGAGAGAGAAAAGGGACCGTGAGGCCGGGAGGGCAGAGGCAGGGGTCCGTCCTCGGAGCAGCCCACCTGACACCCCTTTCCCGCAGGAAGGGAAGAAGTGTCTGGCCGTGTACCAGCCGGAGGCGCCCTTGAACCTCACCCTGGCCGGCTGCGTCAGCACGCGCGCCTACAGGCCCAAGTACTGCGGGGCCTGCACAGACGGCAGGTGCTGCGTCCCCTACAAGTCCAAGACCATCGACGTCGCCTTCCAGTGCCCCGACGGGGCCAGCTTCTCCCGCCCGGTCCTGTGGATCAACGCCTGCTTCTGCAACCTCAGCTGCCGGAACCCCAACGACATCTTCGCAGACCTGGACCTCTACCCCGACTTCGCAGAAATTGCCAACTAGGCGGGCACCCACCTGGCCCGACACGTGCCAAGCAGCCGGCCCTCGGCGGCCCGGGATTGGCCCTTCCTAACCCACTTCCCATTCATCTCGGGGGCCCCTGACCCCGACCCCAGGCCTGTTCCCGGTCTCCGAGCACCCCATGGCGCGCTGTGCGGCTGCTCCGGCCCCTCTGTGGGTCCCGTCCTTGGCAGCACCCTGCGTGCCCTCCACAGAAAGCGCCTGTCTCCATCCAGTCTGGGCCACCCCAGCCCGTGGGAGTCACTGGGCAGCCCGAGTCCCATGGAGCGACTCAGCTGGACATTCGATCTCGCCGATTTCCCCTAGAGATGCCATTCCTGGGTCCACCCAGCAGGCGCGATAGGAGTGAGGACAAGGGGTCAGCCTATGGCTCGGGTCCTGCCGAGTGGCCCTGTCATAGTTCTGACCACAGACCCCAAAGTAGCTCTGACCCCCAAAGGTGTACATACCCCGGAGTCACCAAAGGTCTGCCAAGGCGAGTGAAGGGCTCCGAGCTCAGCGTTTCCGTGGAAAACTGTGTCTGTGAGGCCAAGGTCCTCTTCACTCCTGCACTGGGAAGGGGACACGCCGGGTCATTTCCGTTAGAAATGCTATTGGGTAAATTTCAGGGCCGAGTCCCCCAGTCAGGGCTCCCAGGGCAGAGCAAGGTCAGCCGATGTTCAGACGGAGCAACGGGCGCAGCACACACCTGCTGCTGACCCCCAGGACGTCCATCGGGGATGAGCCAGACTCTTCCCCAAAGCCAGACCCCCATCCCCCCGCCTGGGGGCTCCAGGGAGATGGGGGGGGGGGGCCCTGGCCTCGCCAACCCCAGAGAGTGGTGTCCTGGGGGGACCTCCCTCTGCCCTTAAGGAGCCTCCGCGGACGCCCAGGCCAGATCCTCCTGCAGTGACCAAGGCCCAGGCCGTATCGCCACTTTCTGCCTCAGTGACCCACGTCACAGTCTTGGGGTCCGCCGACCCACACAACCCCGTCCTGACCCCCAAGACTGAGGTTTACCAGTTGGTTAGAAACAGAACCCTACTTAACGGGGACCAGGAGCCAAAGGGGTTGGAGCCAACAGCACGACAAGGCTGTCCCCGGGGCGAGGCAGCCCTCACTTTGTTAGGGAACTAGAGCTGGTGACTGTTCTCTTTTCTCTGCACCTGCCACGTGCCAACGTCCCCGGGGCCCCCACGCACTGGCTCACGGACGCTCCAGGGCCTGTTGCAAAGTGCCCGTTGTGACTTCTGTTCTTGCGAATGTGAAACGGGAGCTCAGAGAGGTGAGGACACGGGGCCGCCGCCGCCCTGCTGGCCCGTGGGGGGTCGGGTTTGCGACCCCAGCTGACCGGCCTGATCACCCGGATGTTTTTCCTGCTCTCAGAGCTCCGTGCTCTCGTTCTGTCTGCCCTTCCTTCCTGTCTCTGGGCCTTTTCTGAGAGAGGAGACCCTGGCTCTCAGGTCACTTAGGTGCCGAGGGCCCAGAAACACACGAGATGGACACAATCCCCATGTCCCCTCCACCCATGGCCCCGCAGTCACAGGGGGTTTGGTCTGCCCAGCACGGTACCCCATGTAATGTGTAGCGAGGGTTTGCGAGGCAGGGGAGACAAAGCCCCTCAGAGAGATCGCCTCACCTGCCCCTGGAGCTCCTTGGAAGAGGGAGAGGGACACCCAAGACCAAAGAACCTGCTTCCCTGCCATCTCTCATTTAAGAGAAGGCCTGGCCTCTCCCCATTTTAGAAATAAGACAGCTGAGGTTCACAGAGGTTTGGTCCTTGGCTCAGCCTCTCCCCAGCTGCTGGCCTGCAGACCAGGATGGCGGACCAAGGTTGCTGGGGTGCCCGAGCGCCTCTCCCAACGAGAAGCCCAGGACACAGCGGCAGCTGCTGTTTTCCCTGGGCAGGGCCTCACAGGAAGTAGCTGCCGTTTTCATTTGCCATCACAGGAAGCCGGCTCCGATGACATTATTGTTTGCAACCTCATCAGCATCGTGCCTTGTCCACAGAGGGGATGTGGGAAGTTATGAGGTCTGTGACTGTCCTATTGCGTGAGGTTATTGCTTTTGAAGGACTTACCTTGATCTAAACTAACTGCCAGGATCGCCCAGCCCAGCTGGGACTCACATGTGGCTGGGCAGATCAATGGCCTGTGACTGCACATATACACGTGGTCAGTATATATATATATATGTATATATCGATTTTCAAGCTGTGACTTAATATTTCACTATTCCTCCTGCCTGGCTTGTAAGTGATTAAGCAAACATATAGTGCCTTGACCGGTTTTGCTCAGTGGATAGAGCCTGTGGACTGAAAGGTCCCGGGTTCGATTCCGGTCAAGGGCATGTACCTTGGTTGCGGACCCATCCCCAGTAGGGAGTGTGCAGGAGGCAGCTGATTGATGTTTCTCTCTCATCGATGTTACTCTCTATCCCTCTCCCTTCCTCTCTGTAAAAAAAAAAAATCAATAAAATATGTTTTAAAAAAAGAAAATAAGAAAACATTCAGAAAAATGCCTCAGCCTTTTCCAGCCTGTGGGTATTCCTCACTTTCCTGTGACCTGAGTTGCGTAAACGTGTTTGCTCAACCTGAAGGACGCCACGTTCTCATCGCTCCCGTTCCCCGTTGATGGCTTCCCCCTTAAAGCACAAAACACCAGCAAAGTGACTTACCGGACATGGTGGGTTTCCTGGTGCCATCGGTGACCACAGGGCAAGGATGAAGCCTCGGGGAGGGACAGCCACAGGCAGGCGGCCGCGGAAACGGCGGGAAGTGAGGAGGTGTGCCAGGAAACGGGAAATGTGGCATTCCGGAGAGACCAGCGCTGCCAAGTGTCCAGACACCTCACTAAAATATAAACCGGAAATGTTAGCATTCGTTCATTCATTCATTCCTTCAGTCACTTGCTTCATTCTGAAGGTTAAGAAGCAAGCAGCTGAAATGCCCCTGTTCTCCACCCCTGAACCCCGCTGAGAAAATAAATGCAGAGGCCTCTCCTGCAGTCGAGAGCCACATTCTAGGGGAGCCTGGCTTCTCTCCGGATTCACTCCTAGCCCTAGCCTGTTGGACTCAATGGGTAAAGTGTCAGCCTGTGGACTGGAGGGTGCCGGTTTGATTCTGGTTAAGGGCATAAATAAATAAATAATAAACAAACAACCAAATAAATATACCTCTAAGGGGATGGGAGATTGGACACCAAGCCCCAGGACATAGACTGTATTCCGTGAAAAGGGTTTCCAGACCTACGTGGCAAACCTGAGTGCTGGGCCTTTCCCGCAGTTTTAACAAAGTGATTTCTTAGTCCAGCCCATGGCAGGGGAGGGGACGCTGCTAGAATAAACGCAGGCTCATCCACAGCGGGGAGAAAACCCTAGCTCACCAGCTGAGGAAACAAAGGGACCGAGAGCCGGACAGAAACCACGGTGAGAGAAAGTCACCTCCAGAGCTGGGTGGGGGGTGGGAGGCAGGGAGAGGAGACAGGCTCCCTCAGGCAATCAGAGCCCCGGTCCCCACAGTGTCAGTGCCGGGAGTCACAGCTGCTCTCATCCCAGGGCATCCATAGAAGCTGGTGCCAGTCACGTGCCCGGGGAGCCGTTTTTAAAGGCAAGAGGGTGTCATCTGTGTTAGAAACATCCCGGGAAGCCATTTAATCTCTTGAGCCTTGGATTTGTTTTAATCTGTGAAGCCAGGATGACTCAGCCTCACAGCTGCAGAGAAAACGGAGAAGAAGCTAAAACATGTGCTAAACATTACTATCCCCTGGGGAAGTGTTTATTCACTGAGCACCAGCCTCCTGTTATGGGCTGGACACGTGCTGGAGAGACAGAAGAAATGCTAGCGATGGGGACCAGGGGAGGGAAGGGGATGCATGTTATAAAAGCCAGGTGTGCACCCGAGGCGCCTCTGCCCAGGTGCCAGGGTCCCGGGGTAGGTTCTCTCAGGGAGGGAGGGACATGCAGGAATCGATGCTCTGAGCAGGGATGGGGGTGGGGGACCCTGACCCGCAGCACAGCTTGCTGCCACAGGATGTAATTCTGCAAAGGACACAGCAATTCACCTGCCGCCACTACATCCATTCCTGGGAGCCCCACATGCCTGCATGTGGGGAGGGGCAGGACTAGAGTGAACCCAGTCATAGTTGATTGGACAGTGAGTGGATACCTGAGCCCAGCTGGGCCAATGAGATTCTTCCCCCTATGGCACACCAAGACCTGATTGGTTCTGGGTTCAAGGACCAAAGGGCCTCTAGTCCTGAGATTAGGCCCTCCACTTTGTGCTCCAGAGGCAGACCAGTCTGGTGTTAGAAAGGAGGAGGCTGATCTGCTGGGAGGACCCCTCCCTAATCCCACCTGCAGCCCATCAGGTCAGGCTTCCCCTCTGCCCTGGTGTCCACGTGGGACACAGGTGAAGGCCCTCCCCCCTCCCGCAGCCTGGGAGCCCAAGGCAAACAGATGGATTGGGGCTGCATCTGGAACCAGCAGAAGGAATGCTTGGCACTGCCAGGCTGCGTCTGAGACAGGCAGATGGGGACCTCGCAGTCCACACACGTCCTGCAGGTGGCTGATCTGGGGGCACGCCTGGTCTCCAGCTGCTGCAGAGACCCATGGATCAGGGCACGAAACCAAAACCAGCAGCCAGGAGAACAAAGGTAGATCCAGCTGGCAAAACAGCCTCAAGCAGTGTCTCCAAACAGCAAACACCTGCACACACCCCCATCCCACGCTCGCTCCCTTCCTCCTCTCTCCCTCCATGGAGGCCTGAGCCCAAAGAGCTGGTAGGGTAGGCCCAAGGTGTCTGTGCTGGCCCCGCCCAAAGCTGGTGTGTGTCCCACTGCCTGGCCCAGCACTCGCTGGTGCTCGGTCACCTGCCTTTCCTTTGCTCCGACTCAGGGAGGCCCAGGAGCAGAGGCACGTACTGTGAAAGCTGAATCAGAGGGGCCTGCACGCTGCCCACCTGGGCCTGGAGCGGGCTTCCTCACCTGGAGCCTCCGACCAGGAGT